CGATCCCAATACGAAGTTCGCGAACATCAGGGATATCCATCGGGCTCAAATCGAAGCGGGTGAAAAGGAGGTTATCACGGCTGAATCCAGCGACTCTGAATGCCCTAGTGAGGCTGGCAGCTGTATTGTAGTGGGTGTGGTTGAGGATCAATAGTTAATAGTAATGAGGAGGTTGGGTTGTGATCCCATCGTTTTTGTGGTGCCAGAAACAGGGGGGTGCCAGGAAGTGGGTATGTTGACTTACGGATCACTCTTGACGTCCAGCAGCAAGACTATCGTGATGTTCGGTTGACTTCGGAAAGCACCCTGCGGCCGATCTGTTCGGCTGAAGTTCGACCACTGCTCTGGAGGATTCATGGTATCGAGAATCTTCATTAAAGGATCAAGGTACATGGACCGCAAAGTTTTCTTGGAGGACAGTTCATGTCTGTCATGGCCAACAAGCAACTCGGAACCATCGTCGCTCAGCCAGATGTCCGCTTCCACGCCGGTACAGCCTGCTGCGAGGGCCGAGTAAAGGGGGTACGGCCTCCAGTAATCATTGTGAGAATGACACATGATTGGGATGACTGAGCGAGAAAAGTCCTCCAGCCATCTTGAGAGACCATCAACTGGCTGGCCATTCGTTGTGATCGGGTTGTTGGAGATGAAGTTTTGGGAAGCCGCGTCACTCAAAGCTTGAGGCTGTAGAACAAATACGAAGACATACAACAAAGTGCTGCAGAAGAATGAGTTCCCTCCACGTCGGGTTGAAAGATGATGAGTTAGCAAAGAGAACCTACATGAGAATAGAACATGCGATAGTTGCTACCACTCCCAAGAATAGAAGCTCTCGGAGGAGTGATGGCTTTCGCCACCGGAGTCGATGTGCAGACCTGATGCACTTTTGCAGAACAGACTTCAAGCGATCTACCTCAATCAATTTCGTTGGCTCAGTTTGTGATGATCGCGAGCTGTCCATGGGGGGTCTCATCGTTGTGTTGTTACTACTGCCTGGCGAATGATCTTCCGCCGAATGCTCTGTCACTTGTTCTCTGGGAACCGAAACTTTGAACCGGTCCATAGCTCTGGGCAATTCAGAGAAATGTCGTAGATGAATGTGTTACAATGCAGAATTGATTTGTCTAAGTAAGGGGTTTCCAGTGCCTTTATCTTTGGAATTTTGTTTGCCTTGGTCTAGGTAACACCAAAAGCTTAGCCACACAGTGGTTCCAAACCTCCAACCTCAATACGCCCCGGTTATTAATTAAAATTGGGAGCAGCAAACGGAGGTAATGTTGAAGCAAACGGCGATTTGAAACCCCGTTGTTGCCTTGTTTGCTCACTGCGCACAGTCGTTTTCGTCATCAGAGTCAACCTGGTGCATCGCCCGAGCTCTTCGTTGGACCCAAGCTTCACAGCCGATCTCTTCGTACTTTGGCTTCTCCCCTTCCTTGACGCAGGTGTCGACCACGCCGCAGCTTTCATGCAGGCCGAAGCCAAAGAAGAAGGGCATACTGATTCGCTCTTCTCCACTCAAGTTCTGGGCTCGATGTACTGTGCTGACGTAGAGATCATTTGTGATGCGCTGCAGGTAGTCGGCAATGTTGACGACAAACGTCCCAGGGATAGGTGCGGCCCTGATCCATTGCCCCTGGCGGTTTAGTACCTGCAAGCCCCCAACCGAGTCTTGCCATAGAATGGTAAAAAGCTGAAAGTCTGTGTGCGATCCTATGGAAACTGTCTTGTTGAAGTCTGAATCCACGGTGGCCGAGGAACTGAGAGGTGGGTAGTAGTTCAGCGCCAGCGCAGCATCAGGGTACGCGAATTTGGCATCAAAGTGATCCTCAGGTAGATCAAGCGATAGCGCAAAGGAGCGAACCAGGACGCGAGCGAGTTTCAAACAGGATTGCCAATATAGAATGATGGCTTCTTTGAAGTCTGGCTGATTGGCCGTGCCATCCCAGTGGAAGTCCTCAATCCGCAAAAGCTTCCTCGCCTCCGCAGGAATAGCATTGACGTCGACCACATCAGGGTCGTGGCGAGGGTCGTACGTCCAGCTAAATGACTCGCGGACATCGACGCTCTCTGACTTGTTGATTCGCTGAGATCCAGGCGGTTTGTACCCGTTGAAGTAGCGACTCTTCCCAACCCATGAGCGCATCTTTGTCTCTTCATCCTGGCGGAAGTACTCTAGGCAGGCTGTATGGGCTGAATCAGTGACTGAAGACGCGATGCCATGGTTGATCAGGTAGAAGAAGCCGGATGTCGTGGCAGCGTTGCGAATCTGCTGAGCCACAGTCTTCCGGTCCTTAAGTTCAGGGCTAAATGCGAGCGAGATATCGATGACTGGGATCTCTGTAGGAAGGGCATCGCGGAGCGGAGTCCGAAGGATGCGGCGGGTTACCGGTCCGTTCCCGGAGGCGAAACGCAGGAGGGTCGTCCCCGGATCAGATGCAAGATTTACAACGCCCATTGTGGGCTAATTAATCATTGAAGACTTGTTGGCACTGGGAAACGGCTACGTCGAGTCAGGGCAAATTGTGTCCGTCGTTCAAGTCAAGAGATGGTTTAATAAGATCAAGAGGATAATTCAGGCAATTTAAACAGCTGAAGTATGCGGGGCGATACAGGCGATAAGGAAATGGTAGACACAGAGGCGGGGGAACTGGGCTTTGTGTCATTGGCTTGAGATGATGTTGCTGGTGATTATCGTCGGAGGTGGCCGACAAGCTCCAGTTCCAAACCCTTAGACCTTAATGGGAGCACGTGGCAGCCCGATGTTATTGGGAATAGGTCGGTTATTCAAATGTCTACCTAAGTAGCGAAATTCGCCATGAGCTCGAAGCATGCCGGCCCGAGTTCGGCCACGTTCATGTAAGTTTGCGTTGCTTCCTCAAGTCGAGATGGTTGATTGATCATCTTATTCATTCGGTCAACATGCCTCACATCATGGTTTGGGAAAAAAATATGAGGTCCTTCTCGACTCCTTCTAAAAGACCCGTAGACAAGCTTGTCTCTGACGTGGAGAATAGAGAGCGTTCGATGGTTCATCTTACTCAGTATCATTCTCCAGGTCTACCTACGCCTTAGCAGCCCATGTAAACGGCTAGTTAAGGACCAAAGATTAGTCCTCATCGTTTCGTATCACAAGCAAGAAAAGGGACGTAAGGGAGCAAACCATTAGCGTAAAGGGAATAATTATCAGCATTCTGCAGAGCCCGTTCCGGGAGTAATGCGACGCTGGCGTTGTAAGCGTAAGCGTAGTCATCCGTGTGAGGAGCATAAACTGCCTCGCAGTGCGTGGTTTCGTGGATCGTAGTCGTAGCTTGACACTGTCGGTGGCATCCTACAGGGAGTGGCGGCAGGCCAAAGAAGAGCGGGCACATAACCATTGTGTTGACGTCCCAGGCAGTGTAAGCATTGAGAGGGCCGTCGAGCTCGCAAACGCCGTAGTAATCGTAACAGAAGTACCGAGACACTCCTGAAGTAGTTGAGCTACACTCCTGCGCGACGTTACGAAGCCGAGTGACGACAATGTTGCGGGTTTCTGATGAGTTGGTGCCGAAATACTCGACAAACCGCTGAGAGGCCGGGTTAGCTGCATCCGCTGCGGCAGCGAGGGCGAGGGCCTGACAGTTGGCCAGGGCTTTGGTGCTGGCGTCCAATGTTGTCGCATTGCATCCTGGCTGTAAGTTGGTGCGCTCTTTGAGCGCCGCAGTTACCAATGACTTTGCGGCAGCGTCTGCGTCAACGTCAACTTGGATGGTGTTCGACTTGAAAGCCACGGCAGGTTGCGAGAAGTCTGTAGCCGGCGCTAGAGCAATCGGTATCATGCCTTCAGCGGTGATAGAGTAGGTGCCAGATTGCGTAAACTGATGAACCTTTGCTGCGTCGATGGAGACCGTCACTGAACCCCCAGCTGGAAGCGACTCAAAATGAATTGCCTTCAGCGCATCGTACTGAATGCTCGGCTCAATGCCCCTAAAAGAGACTGCGTTCCCTGCTGGCGCGTGAGCTACGGGCATTTCGTCACCGTGGCGCTACTGACCTGACTCGTCAACGATGGACACACGCTGGACAGGAAGCTTGTCGTCCAAGATGGTGCCGACCTTGAGCAGGTTGAGATCTAAGCTGCCGGCGTTCTTGATGGTGGCGGAAACCTCGGCGCCAGAGTCGGATACCACAGGTGTGAGGGTTACCTCCAGTGTTGAGTCCCGCTTGGAGTAACGGATACCGTGAGCGTTGAGATGACCGCTGGCGATGGCCGCCAAAGGCGCGAGTGCAAGGACCTTTCGCCACAACATCTCGAGAACTGCAGCGGCTCAAGATAAAAACGAGGTGAACGGGAATCGTCACCGCATGTGGTGCCGTGGTCTTTTTAAGCTGCCATTTGATATGAGATAGCTCAGAGCCCAAGAGCCCAAGGGCCCAAAAGCATATGCATCTCTGCAAATCCCCTTAATCAATCTTGGCTAGAAGCCCGTATTGATATGTATCGCCGGGATAGACAAGATATAAATGCTCTGACTTGGCAGCCAAAACTCGTATTCGACCAGGATTGAAATGTCGAAAATGGCAGGAGGCTTTGCCGGCATTCTCAAGGTAACATCGGCCCCTGAAGTGGGCCATGGCAGAACAGAACACAATGCTTCACGTTCACATGACAGAGAATGCTCAGAGAATTTAACATCTCCAGACTCAAAGTGACATGAATCATCAGGCTTGATATTCTGGGCTGTGTGGCAAGTCCGATGCAATTGGCCCGACGGAGCGAAGTGTTAGGCTGTACGGAGACGGCGGCGAGGGTCAAAAGCCGGTCATGCGTTCCTTTTACTCGTATTTCCGACTGTCTTGATCGTAACTATGTTCAGCGCTCGACCACCTGCACAAAATAAATGTGCTCTGAGCTGAATGTATATAGAGCCTTCATAGTAGAAATGGCCGCTCCAATCAGCCTCTACGCCTATACTTGCAGATGACTAGGTGAGCGAATGCCCGTCAACTCGCAACGTCACTGTCCCGCCAAAGTGGTTACAAAAGCAGCGGCCTCTTGACCAGCGCTTTGTGTGCATGAGCTCCGGGGTGAACCGGCCGGAACGCGGAGATAAACCAACCCAACAGCCTGTGTCAGCCGGGGAGTGTCGGCCAACTTGTTCGTTCCATTCTCCACTTCCCCCACTGCATCAACATCGTGACAAGTTGTGGAGTCGAGATTGTGGCTTCTTCAGTGTTTCTTAGTGCAGGACTGGCAGAATGGCTTGCTCATTGGTGTTCTCATCCCTAGGGCGGATGATAACGCATCTGATTCTCCATGGCTGGTGCGGCCCGCGATTCCGCAGCGTTGCCATGAGTGATTTATCAGCCTCCAGATCTCATAAATACATCGACTGACCCCTTGACTGCTGTTCACTCCTGTGCTCCATGTAAGCCTTACCAGCAACTTTCACTCTTGAACAAACCATCTCCGACTCCAAAATGTCTGCCGAGATCCCGACCCTTCGCTGGGGCATCATCGCCACCGGCCTGATCTCCTCATGGTTCGTCGAGGATCTGGTACTTGAACGCTCCAACGCGAGGGCCAAGCACATTGTTCAGTCCATCGGATCATCATCACTTGAGAAGGGCAAGGCGTTTGTCGAGAAGCATCTCCCAGGGAAAACACCCACAGTTTATGGTAGCTATGCGGAGGTCTACGCCGATCCTAACGTCGACGTCATCTATATCGGCACACCACACGCGTTCCATAAGCAGAACTGCCTCGACGCCATCAATGCGGGCAAGCATGTACTATGCGAAAAGGCCTTCACCATCACAGCAAAGGAGGCGCGGGAGGTGTTTGAGGCCGCGAAGAAGAAGGGTGTTTTCGTCATGGAGGCAATGTGGACGCGTTTCTTCCCCCTCACAAGATCTCTCCTGGACGTCTTGCACTCGGAAAAGCTGATTGGCGATATTCACCGGGTCTTCTGCGACTTTGCCATGAACATGAACCTCGCATCTCTGGGTCCGGACTCGCGCCTGAAGAATCCGGCGCTAGGTGCAGGAAGTCTTCTCGACATTGGCGTGTACAGCTTGACCTTTACGATTCTGGGACTGGACCCCGGCGTTGGAGATAAAGCTGAAAAGCCCAAAATCTCGGCGACACAAACCCTCTCAGACGATATCGACATTGAAACATCGGCTCTTCTTCTCTACCCCAGTGGCAAGCAAGGTATCCTGACAGCTTCGACGCAGGTCAAGACACCACCAGGATTCTGCAGGATTGAGGGAAGCAACGGATACGTCATTGTCGAGGGCATCGCGACTTCAGTTCCCGGCTCTTTCACGGTGTACTCTTCCAAGGCTTCTGGCGAGGGATGGGCCGACTCCGCGACGGAAGGTCTGAAGTCAAAGAAGTTTGACTTCGAGCGACCAGGCAAAGGCTTCTACTGGGAAGCGGACGCGGTGGCGCTGGATATTGCTGCTGGGCGCACAGAAAGCGAGATCATGCCCTGGGCAGAAACTGTCCGTGTCATGGAGATTTTGGATGAGATTAGGAGACAGGGCGGCGCCAAGTTCCCTCAAGATGATCAGTAAAGGACTTCGAGTGAAATGAAAGTAGTGGATATCACAAGAACCATCTTTGAAATGCACAAAGTCTTCCAAGTTTGTCATCATTACGCAGTTACCAGTAAGAGCTTTGACGGCGAACCTCAATAATAACTCCGGGATTCGTCTCTCGTCTACATCCTTTCTCTGAAGTTAGTCCAAGAACCTACTACCACGGACCGGCCTGCATAGACTAATAAGCCTCCGGCAAATACGACAGCAAGATAAAGTCCCGATAAGGCAGTCGGCCCAAGAGTCTGCAGCATTTGACCGCCGATTGGCACTGTTAAGAGAAGCGAGAAGCTTATGACAAAGTTCATTGTCCCTAGGTAGGCTGGTTAGGAAACCAAGAGCTGTGGTAAAGCTTGGTAGTAACGTACCATAGTATCTTCCATAGTCTTTAAGCTCACAAGTCTTCGCCACACAGGCTAGCACCCCACAAGGTCAGTCAGCGATAGGATACAGCAACGTATGCAACAAGTTATCAACTCGAAGTGGATCAACTTACCAGGTGCAAGTGACAAGAATGATCCGGTGCCAAACCCCCATAAAGCCGAGAAAGCATACAAGGCTTCGATTCGAGTCGACCCAAACGCAGTAAGCGTTGCAGCGGTGCAGATGATCGTGAAAACAATCATGACCAGGAGGACGTTGTAATGTCCCAGGCGATCCCCTACCACGCCAGGAAGAATACGCCCAAGAGACGAAACGCCGTTCAGGATAGCTAGCATGTTGAATCCATGCTCTATAGGAAGTCCCGATAAAGCCACCAAGGTTGGAAGAATTGCAGTTGCACCAAAGATGACGAACTCGAGAAGCGCTATGGCGCCGCAGATGAGCGAGAAAGGTAATGAATGGAAGGCAGAAAAGCCCATAACAGCCATTTTCCTACTCCTTTTGGTAGACACTCTATCGGAAGCTATCATAGCATGCAACCTCTCGAAAGGAAGGAGGCAGGCAATGCCTGAGCTCAGTATAAGGACAGTCAGGAATCCCACTGCTCTCATAGACCATGCCCACCCCCATAGAGGGAATATCTGCCTTAGAACCAATGGGAAAATCATCCCACCGGTAGAAGAGCCAGACAGAGCGATACCGAGTGCTAGCCCCTTACGACGATTGAAGAGTTTCCCAATTACAGCAATGCCTACAGTTGTAGCAATAGCATTACCAATGCCTCCCAGAACACCTAGGCAGAGGATGAACTGCCAAATCTTTGCGCATTCGGCGAGGACAAAGAACATCAGAACGAGTAGTCCTGTCGCGAGTGGTCCAAGAAATTTCGGGCCGTAAACGTCGATCAGCGGTCCTGCCTGGATACCGAGAAGCATCGTGAGAAAGCTGTAGACTCCTGTAATCCAGCCAACATCACGGGCAGAATAATCTCTCAGTTGGTTCTCTAAGAGAAATGACTGGACTGCTCCGGAAGATTGCATGAACCCTATGAAATCAGGCATTAGTGCCAGGTCTTCCCCGTTTTAAATGGATCTGGATGGTGTTCCGGGATTCGGGAATGCTCACCGAAAGAAGGCATCAGAAATAGGAATGACCCGAGCACACAGACCCACGCCGACTTCCGACATTCGACGTCCACAGCATGGTGCCGGTGCGGTTCTTGTTGGGTCACGTGGCTGTTTTGGGATGGTTGCTCCGAGAACTCTGGCTTCGTGGAGAAGAATTCGTGTGCTTGCGCGGAGGATGGCATGGTCAGGAAAATGTTCACGGCATCATGATATTCCATCAGACTAATACCATCTACCTTTATGTCAGTAAATAATGTGCTCTTGGCGCTGAAGAAGTCTGTCCCGGGTTTCTTGACCTCATCCGAGAAGGCTTTGCAACAGCGGAGTTGGCGGAGTTGGAGTGCATACTAAGCTGGCCCTAGATCAACATGGGCTGGCACCTTTGCCTCATTCGGCATTACTTCCAGCGTTTCCTTGAGAAGCCATGTCTAATGCGTGAGTCCTTAACCCCCACCTGATCAGTCAAAACCTCAGTCCTTCGGAATGGTTTGGAATGATTTACGCACTAATGTTACTAGGCGTCGTCTGCTTAAACCGCTGATTTCTCAGTCTTCGTAGCTTGCCCGTGGGTTTGCTGGCACCAACCATGCAACCAAGCCTTGAGTTGCGGACGACAAATACGCCAACATCTTCGACTGAGACTTTTTTCCCCAATGCTTAACAGAGCAAACTTGAGCAGGCCGACTGCATACTAATGGCATTTGATCGTGGCCGTATCACATTCCTCTATTCAAATAGTTCCTGGTTTGACTTGTACGAAATTCGTGCATCCTTGAGATGATGAGAGGTAGACCTCTTAGCAGGCCATCGCTCTATGCTAGCTCAACCTGCTTAACTTTGCCATCCTTCTTGGTCTCTTCCTCCTCACCACCCTCGATATCTTCCACTTTGGCATTTGCGGGCTTGCCCTCGAAGACTTCGCGGATCTCCTCCAGTGTGTGACCCTTTGTCTCGGGGAAAAGGAACCAAATCACAATGAACAAGACTCCTAAGACACAGCAAAACACTATATAGTACTTCCATGCGATCGCCTTCATTGCAATCGGGTTGACCTGATTGCCGATGATCAGACCAGTGAAGGCAGTAATGTAGGTGACCGACAAGCCGCGACCACGAAGGGTGTAAGGGAAAATCTCGACAGGGTAGGCTTGTAAGAGCGGCGTCCAAGCAATGTCGTAGAAGAAGTAAAAGATGAAGATGAAGGCTACAACTGCTCTCCCAGTTCCTTCGTCACGGCTGGCGACGAAGTGAGACGTCAACCCGGTCCATGCGATGTAACTCGCGAGCATGCCTGCCGTGGAGATCAGGAACAGGGGTCGTCGACCCAAGCGGTCTACCATGAGCGCTCCGAGGAAGGTCGAAATGATCCAGTTGAAGATTTGCAGCATTCCGTTGATCAGAGTCTGGTCCTTGACTTCAGTGATGCCGATAGTGTTAAGCACGAGACTCAAATAGTAGCTGACCACTGCGACTCCGTTCCACTGAGAGCTGAAGCCGACAATACAGGCAATCAGTGTTCGCTTTCGGTTGGCAGGGGTTCGCACGAGTTCGAGCCAAGATGATTGAGACATGGCTTCAGCCTCCTCGCCCAAAGTAAGTTCGACTTCGCGCATCTCAAAGTCGACCAGCGGGTCATTGAGGTTGCCACCAGCGTGACAGTCGGCGAAGACCTTTCTGGCTTCATCTTTACGACCACGGCGCATCAGCCAGCTACAGTAAGCGGTTAGTAAGACTAGAATGTGTACAGTCAAGATACTGGAAAGCCTTACCGAGGGGACTCGGGCAAGAAGTAGACACCCAGAAGCTGGATCACAGGAACTGCTCCTTGCAGCAGAGACGGGATTCGCCAGCTCCACGTAGACGCAATCTTGAAGGTTCCAAAAGTGCACCATGCAGCAAAAATGGAGCCAAAGTACTACGCAAGATATATGTCAGCAAGTTTCCAAGACTGTTGGGGCCTTCTCGAAGATTCAACGTACAAAGAATGTGTTGTACAAAGCTGTGATTCGGCCTCGGTGGGTGGGGTAAGCCAATTCCGTGATAAGGATAGGGCTTGGCTGGCTGATGAAAGTTGTGAAGAAGCCTAGCAAAGCTCTTGCGACGACAAAGCTTGGAAGGTCCTTGGACATGCCTTGCAAGATGGCAAACCCGATACAGGCTGCCAAGCCCAGAACGAGAGGGAGCTTTCGACCGTATCTATCCGAGATGTACGTTACGACGAAGAGTGCTACAACTTTGCCGAGAGGGTAAACAGCATTCATCAGACCAAGTATGGCGCCTTCGGGGTTTCCAAAGAATTGGCGCCATTGAGGGAGGGTTTGAAGGCCGTTCATCATCGATCCTTTTCGCTCGTTAGTTAGGCAATTCACAAAGCTGGATCGAGAACTCATACCATCGTAACCGACAGACGCAGAAGAAAACAGAGGTACAAGCAGCAACAAATTCAACTTCAGTAGATGAGGTGTCAAATACCACGGCTTGGGATTTGCGGGTAGAACCTAGTTGTCGCGTGTCAGTAGCTTCTCACCTAGGAGAATCAAAAAGAAGGTTGCTTACAGCTGCAAGAGCCGACCCTGCGGCCAGCTCTGCTCCCGTCTTCTTAGAAAATACACCCATTGTCAAGGTTGGTTTTTCTGCGCGATCTCTTGACTGTTGAGATTGTCACCGCTGGGATGTTGGTAAAGGTGTTTCAGGCTCCTGGTCGAAGCGACAAGGATGACTTAAACTCGAGAACAAGATGCGACGCCATGCTATTTATCTACCTCAGGAGAGCCATCGACAATGCAACCAACTTCAGGTTTTCCAGCCACCGCCTAGGGTCCAGGTCAGACCAGATTCTCGGTAGCTCTGCACGGCTTCATGACCCCGGTCCATCCCCATGGGGTAAACGCGGGACCGGAACTCGGGATGGGTGTTCTTAGGAAGTCGGAGGCCAGGGGAGTGTGCGGGGAAGAATGCATCGTCGCGGCGTGCAATATTTCGGGACGCGTCTTCGACCGAACTAGGTGACCTTAGATCTCGCACTAACAATATTGGCGTGGGTCCGATACTCCGCGGGCAACGGTCCGGTCTAAGCTGGTCTCGGGGAGTATCGGAGCCTGTCCACCTCCAGATGCTTTGACTTCTCCAATCATTTCGAATCATCATTGGATGAAGCTACCAAAGCAAAAGTGGTCTCAAATCCATCTTCAGGTGTCCAATGATGTTCGGGGCTCAACAATCCAGCTCAAGCTGACGACATTGCTGGAGCTGTACCCACAGGAGCTTGACAAGATTACAAAAGCCATCACGAACGCCTCTCAACATCACAAGAGCAGGCATATCTGGAACAAGATAGTTGGCGATAATCGTCCAGGTCTCGTATCTAGATTCATGTGCATTCTACATTGAGAGGCCCTCAACGACTTTCCCCATACATCAAGAACGACGCCTAAGAACATGGGCTCCCAGCAGCAAACGCCCATCCTTAGGGTTGGCATCATTGGGTGCGGCGAGATCACTCAGGTAGCCCACATTCCCAACCTCAACTTCCTTTCTCATCGCTACCAAACCACCTACCTCTGCGATATCTCACAACAAGCTCTAGAGCACTGCGCCCGAAAGGTGCAGGGAGGAACGCCCAAGACAACGGCTGATGCAGCAGAACTCTGCTCTTCGCCAGACGTCGATGTGGTAGTCATTGCCAACGCTGATGCGTACCATATCGAGCATGGGCTCTTGGCGCTCAAGAACGACAAGTACACCCTCATCGAGAAGCCCGCCTCCGTCTGTTTCCGAGACTTAGATCGCCTGGTCGAAGCCGAGAAGAAGTCTAAGGGAAAGGTCATGGTTGGTACCATGCGGCGTTTCGCAACTGCATTTACCGATGCGGTGAAGGAAGTTGGCGGCATGGAGAAGATCCAGTACGCGAGAGTCAGAGACATCATCGGACCCAACTCAACATTTGTCGACCAGTCCGGCACGTTCCCTCTCAAGTTCAGCGACTACAGCGATGCAGACACTAAGGACAGGCTGAAGCGGGAGGCGGACATCTCTGAGCAAGCTCTAGCGAAAGAGTTTGGAGTTCCCGTTACCCCTGGTTCTCAACTGATGCTACGACTTCTAGGAGGGTATGTTAAAGTTCAACAAAGCTGAAAGAGCATCATTACTAATAAATCCATAGACTCGGAACCCATGATCTTTCAGCCATGAGAGAAATCATCGGTATGCCGAAGAGTGTTGCAGGAGCTTGTCTTACCTTCCCTGGCATCTTCAGCGTCCTTTTCAAGTACGACGACTTCCCTGTCACTTATGAGTCAGGTTTCAGCAAAGTCCCGCAATTTGACGCACACATTGAGGTCTACTCTCCCGAGAAGATTGTTCGCGTTGACTTCGACACACCATACGTCAAGGGTCTACCAGTCACGATGACCATTAGAGAACTGATCGGGAATGATGGCTTCCAAGAGCGCAAAGTCAGGAAGACATACCAGGATCCTTACACCAATGAGTTCCTCGAGTTGTATGACTGCGTTGTCAACGGGAAGGCTCCGAAGACGAGTGCATTAGATGCGAGGAATGACATCGAACTGTTCAAGATGATCCTTCGAGCAGACTCCGGCAGATATCAGTAGGGTCCTGGAGAATAATTAAAGGAGAGCACAATAGCTTTATTACTTCACAAAAAGCCGCCCATGGAATTGATAATATGATATAACGGAAGTGTGTGTTCGGTCTCGGTCATTCACCGCCTGGCGGCTTTCATATCTGACCAATGATCCAAGCCAAACGATGAAAGGTAAAACTTCTGTTCCCATCAGCAACTCGGTCGCTGCGGCTATTACGGGCGCACCGTGTCTCAGGCTCTCAACTGCATTGCAGATTACTTAAGCGGGATGGGAGTCATGGAATCACCGCGACCGAATATAACTATTTCTATTACGGGTAACTTCGGAGGTACCGCTGTCAAATCGTCTCGGCTACGGTGACTTATCGCAGGAGAGCGAGTGCAGCAACATAACGAAGCCTTATCGGGGCACGGTAAGCGAAAGCCCCAAATACATTGGTACGAGCAGCTTTTGCAAGCTTAAGTATGGGATAAAGGAGCTCACAGCCTCCACGACTCACGACGCCCAACAAGCTTTGTATTCAGATCATGCACTCGTGCAGGGTTCCTGCGGAGATCTCTCGAGGATCCCCGTTC